TCGGTGCGTGTCAACGCGATCACGATGAAACGCGCCGTAGCGGCAGGAGCTGACGTGTAAGCGGTCGACATTCGGGAAGCCGAGGCAGCGGACAAAGGAGGGGATTTACAGAAACTGCTGGCCGACGTACCGAGTGATCTGGCAGCACTGTTGAAGCAGTACAGCGACATTTTCCCGGACGATTTACCGTCGGGACTGCCACCTCAGCGACCGCACGACCACAGGATAGAGTTAGAACCGGGGGCGTAGCCAACAGTACAGCGACAGTTCCGACTGACCCAGCCCGAACTGGACGAACTGAAGAAGCAGCTCGATTACCTGCTGGAGAAGGAGTTCATTCGCCCTAGTTCGTCGCCCTTCGCAGCACCGATACTGTTCACACCGAAAAAAGACGGGGGATTTCGCATGTGCATAGACTACAGAGCACTGAACAGAGCTACCATCAAATCCCGTTACCCCATCTCGCGAGCCGACGAACTGATCGACCAACTGCGCACAGCCCGGGTTTTCTCGAAAATCGACCTCCGAGGGGGTTACCACCAGATTCGCGTCAATCCGCCCGACTGCCCTAAGACCGCATTTCGCATACGCTACGGATCCTTCGAATACACCGTCATGCCCTTCGGACTGACCAACGCCCCCGCCACCTTTCAAGTGACCATGAACGAAGCTTTCCGCCCGCTCTTAGATAAGTGCGTCATAGTATAACTGGACGACATACTGATTTACAGCCCTGACAGAGCACAGCACTTACAGGACATCGAAGCAGTTTTTAAAATACTGAGTGAGAACCGCCTACTGACAAAAGCGTCTAAGTGTGAGTTTTTACAAGACCGCCTGGAGTTTTTGGGACACGTCATTTCAGCCGCAGGAGTGGAAATAGACCCGAAGAAAATCGTGACGATTCAAGCATGGCACGCGCCGACCAACTTGACCGAGTTGCTGAGCTTTTTGGGGTTCGTCAACTACGTGCGCCGGTTCGTCCCCGACATGGCGAAGCTGACTGCCCCGCTGACCGACCTGCTGAGGAAGGGGGTTGAGTATACGTGGGGGGAGAAAGAGCAAGCTGCCTTCTCGGCCCTCAAAAACATTTTGTGCTCACCGCCCGTGCTTCACATCGCAGATCCACACCGTCCGTTCGAGCTCGTCACGGACGCAACTGACATCGCTGTGGGAGCAGTACTGTTGCAGGATTTCGGGAACGACCTCCAGCCAATCGCGTACGAGTCCCGCAAGCTGCACCCGCCCGAACGCAACTACCTGATACACGACCGCGAAATGTTGGCGATCGTGCACGCGTTCAAGGTTTGGCGGTGTTACCTGACTGGCGCCGACGTGACAGTACGGACAGACCACTGATCACTACAGTACCTACGTGCCCAACCAAATCTCAATTCGCGCCAGATTCGCTGGTTGAACTACCTCGAGTCCAACTTCCACTACACGGTTACGTACAAGAAAGGCGCATCCAACATCGCCGACGCACTCACCCGCCCTACCGCCCAACTCCATGCCATCCTACTCGCCCAAACCAACCCGCTTTTAACAGGCCTATTTACCCACAGATACCGCACCGACCCATTTTTCACGACCGGGAATTCACAGCAACTGGCAGAAGCTAAAGGAGTTTATTACGTAAAAACAGGCACCAACCGCATCTGGGTACCCGCGTACTCACTACTGAGGGAGCTGTTACTGAAGGAGGCACACGACGGAATTACCTCGGGACATTTTGGGGTAGAGAAAACGCGACAGCAACTGCATCGGTATTACTACTGGCCGGAGCTGCTGACCGACGTGCAGCCGGAGCTGCTGACCGACGTGCAGCAGCACGTGGGCTCGTGCCCCACGTGTCAGGTGATGAAGAGCTCGAGGAAGCGGAAGGCGGGTCAATTGCAGCCGATACCTCCGCCCGAGCGCGCCTGGCAGCAGGTTACCATGGACTTCGTCACAGGGTTACCTTCGAACCCTGGGGGTAACGACGCGGTGATGGTCGTCGTTGACAGGTTGACGAAGATGGCACACTTCGCTGCATGCAAAAAGTCGATCTCAGCCGAGGAGACCGCTCGCCTGTTCATCGCAGCCATTGTTCGCCTGCACGGGATACCAGCAGCGATTATCAGCGACAGGGACATGAAGTTCACCAGCAACTTCTGGAAGAACCTCTGGGAGCAGTTCGGGACCAGGCTACAGTTCAGTTCGTCGTACCACCCCGAGACTGACGGTCAAACGGAGCAGACGAATCAGACGATGGAGCAGTTGATTCGTGCCACGTGCGACGACCCCACGACTTGGGAGCAGCAGCTGCCGCTGATCGAGTTCGCGTAGAACAACGCCACGTCAGCGACAACGCAGCAGCCCCCATTCTACCTGAACTACGGGCAAAATCCTACAGTGCCCATGACGCCGAGCCCGGACAACCCAACACTACGTGCACAGCAATTCGCCGAAATTCTGCACGCTGCCCGCACCAGGGCCGCAGAAGCAATTAAAAAAGCAAACGTCATCGCTAAGCGCAACGCTGACCGCCACCGCCGCCCAGTCACATACCAGTCAGGGGATTACGTACTGCTCGACACGCAAAATCTGCGACTGCCCGACGTACCGAAACTTCGACCGCGCTACTGTGGCCCATTCCAAATCAGCCACATGATCACGCCAGTAACCGCGCACCTACTGTTACCGACCGACTGGTACATCAACCCATCGCTCCACGTCAGCCTACTTCGCCCATACATCCCAACCACCAGCCAACTGCCTCGTCACCGCCCGCATTCCATGACTCGCCCTGCATCGGAGCCGATCATCGAGCCCGAAAAATCCTGAGCCATCGGATTCGCCACCCCACGGGAATCAGGAGGATTGAATTTCTCGTTCGCTGGAAGGACCGCACGCCAACTGAAGATAGCTGGGTGCCCTTGGCCAACATTGAAAACCACCCTGCCCTGCAAGTCTACCTGAGGAGCCGGGGATTCCGCGATATACACGCACTCGCGTAGCGGAGGGGGCTTCTTGAGGGGGGGGGGTGGGGGGGGGGGGGAGTAGTGTAAGGAATTTTCTCGGCATTCCTTACGGAGCCCGACTACATCGCGTACAGCAACAGCCGTTGTTCGCCCATTACTGCTAACGGGACTTCGCCAACTTCGCGCGCACTGTTTTGCCAAACCTCGCACTGCTGGCCCGGCCGTGTCGGCCTACGCTTCGGGACTAGCCCGAGCCTCGCTGCCAGCGTAGCACTAGCTAGCTCGCACGCACCGCGTTACCGTTTGCATGTTCGCATATAAATGTTCGCTCATGCCTTCGCTCACATCTTTGTACTCGTTTGACACCTTAGTGCAATTCTCGCTACTTCGATTCATTGCACCCGTAACAATGTGGCGAGAATGAGGGTGTACAGGTTATTTAGTTAATTTCGTCAAGCCGTTGCTCATTTGGACACGAGACGCGTTCTGCCCCGCTTTTCCACAGATCTGGAGTGTTCAGCAGTGCTCAACCAATACTGTAGTGGTAAGAGCGTGGAACATCCTTTTGAACAACTGTTTGGTCGGCTCTTTGGTCGGACATTCAATCGTCAAATGTTTGCGACGGTTTTCGCCAGGTAACTTGCAAAACCCCACATTGCAAATCGGAAACACTTGGTCGCCCAGAAATACGGAGTCGCGATGGTACACTAAAGGCGCCGGCTTCGTCAAACACCTTTCTGCGAGTTGGATTGCAGCACGTCACTCACAACTACACCCGGTTGATTGTCGCGTGTTTCTCCTGACGTCGCCTCTTCTTGCCCTATCCGCGAGGTCCGAAAGTGGGGCGACCAACATGCATGGGCTGTGGAACGTGCGTGCATCCTGCAGTTTTCGTCACTCTGTTTCGTAGGTCAATGGCGATGGTCGCAACAGTGGTTGCTGTCGCAGTTGGGCGACCAACCCCTTGTTCAAAAGGATGTTCCACGCTCTAAGGATAATTCTGGCCATGAGGGAAGCAGTCGGTCAAGTTGCGTGAGTCGACTTCTGGGGGCTTTTTCGTCGGGTTTTTTTTTTGCCCCGGGCAGTTTGTCGTTTTCTCGTCTCGTCTTTGTCGTTTCCTCGCCCCCTCCATTCCGTTGAGATTTACCATGCTGTGTACAAGAAGCACGCCAAACAAACAGTCTGGCGACTCGGCAGGACTAGAATGTTGCAAGGTGTCATGGCGTCGTGGGCCACCCTGTGTCATATCATGACTTCCTTCGAACCCGCACCCGGGTTGCAACACCTGTTTTTATTGGGTTTTTTGGTGGATGCATATACAGTAACTCTGCCCGCAGTCGTGACTGGGTGGCGAACCAACAGTTGCTACTCATTTGTTTCCTTGAAAAAGCAGCGCTTTCCGTGGTTACAGCTGTTTTCCATAATGTATGCATGAGAAAATCCTTCCGTTCCCATACTTCGTCAATATTCAATGACGAGTTTGCATGGGACATTCGAGGTTGTGGAATCTAGACAGGAATTACCCTAAACATCTACGCATACACACTTTTTAGGAGAAAACCTGCCGCATAGGAGAGGCTGCAGGAAGGATCGCTTCCCAATTCCAATTGCTTCGATGCCTGCTACTTCCTGCGCTGTGCGCGACTGTGTCGTCTGTCCCATTCGTGCTCCCACAAGCAGAAAAAAACCGACAATTCAGCTCCCTTGGCTTCTTCCGTTCCACTCGGTGTTATTTCTCCATCGCTCTTGAGTCGCTGACCCCATGAACACAACAGCCGTCCTCTTCTCCCCCTAACGCCAATTTCACCGTTTTAATATGCCGTACAGTACAGTCTTGTTCTCCAGATCCACTGAGTGTCACTTGGTAAGCAAAACGCGTTTATTGTTCAATGCAACGACGTTTCTCGCTGACCTCGCCATCCAGATTTCCAGGCAATCACATTCATGTTTGTTCAACCATTCTCAAATTCATCTGCCTGGGACAACCTCACTGCTCTCTCGAACAGGTATTGTCACAATTGTCAACACGCAGTCGCCATGGCGACGTTTGAGAAGTCATCTACGGCCTCGTCTCTCCTCTCTTCGCCTTCCTCCTTCTCCTGCCGCTCCCCCGCGCTGCAGCAGTCGCTTGGGACAGCTTCTCCCTCGCTCTCCCCCTGTCCGTCGCTCAACACGTCGTCAGTGATCGTCCTCCTGCCCGACGACAGTGTGCGATTGTACGAGCAGCGAATCTCCGCCGATCGCGTGCTCGCGGAGTTTCCGAACCACGAGCTCCGCCGCGCGGGCAGCCGACGGTCGTTAGACGCCAACAGCCGCTTATCGTCGCGCGAAACTTACGCGCTAATCGACCCCCAATGCCTTGTCCACGCCAAGTCGCCTCTCCACAACTCCACTCTGTCACCCCAGCCGCAAAAGCTGCCTCCGCCGCTGCCGCAGTCGGAACCACCAGTGTCGCAGAACGAGTTATTCTCGCCCACGACGCCACCTTTCGAACGTGCGCGAACGACAAGCCCCGAGCGGAGCCAGCCGGCCGCTACAACAGTCTGCCGCTCTTGTACTGCTCACCACCATCATGTGCAGTCTGCCGGCCAGCTCCACGGGCGCATCACCGCCGGCGGCTCCGGAAAACCCGCCGCTTTTGGCGCAACCAGCTCCAGCGATTTCGTGCATGCGGCGGAGGTTTCGAGCCGCCTTCGCGGCGGTCGCCGCGGCGCGGTCGCCCCGCAGCACGTGTTCGAGGCGATAGTGGCAGCTCCGTCCTCGCCTGAAGACCCATCACCGCCTTCGGGTCGCTCTTCTGATGTTGACGCGGCACGCGACCTTTTGCGAAGCGCCTCGATGTCCGACGCACGGACAGCACAGCATGTCGGTCGGCATGATTTGTCAGCGGGCGCCGGCGCTTGCGGCAGAGCAACGGCGGAAGGGACCTCATCTCCACGAGAATGTCCTGGCGACGACGACCGGCGGTTTACTGACTTCCGCGACAAGTTCACGACATCGCCGGAGTCAGAAGCTGAAGGCGACGACACTCCGGCGGGAGTCACACTCGATCGGGACAGCTGCTGCTTCCGTACCAACGCCGCGCGGACCGCGCAGCAGCATTCAATGGCGTCGCCTCTGCTGCGCCAGACGTCGCTCACGACGTACTTGCCGTCGACGGCGGCAGCGATTGCGGGGTCAGGCGGGTTCCAGGCCGAGGCCGCAAGCACGATGCGGCACGGCGCGCACGCTGCGGCTTCTCTGTCGCGCTTCCCCGGGCCCAAAATGGCGGGCTTCTTCGACTCCCTCGGTTCGCGCTCCGTCTCGGCGGCCGGCGCGCCCGATGACTGTGTGCGGCCGGCTCCACCGCTGCTGGAGGTACCCGCGAAATTTCTTGACACGTCAGCAGGCCTTACTGGCACAAGCGACTCGGAGTTGCTGCGCCATGGCGAGGTGCGCTTCGACGCGTGGATGGACCACCCTGCGGCTGCTGACGTGCCAACGCCGCGCTTGCCGCGTCGCCGTCAAGGTTACCCCGCCGCCGAAGGAGGCCGCGGAACAGCGGCCATGGCCGCGCAAACGGAGCGGCGCGGAGGCGACGCCAGCGGAAGTGGCGCTACGACTAGTGGCTCCTCGGGCGGCATTCCTGCTCCAAACCAGCCAGTTAGTTCTAGCCTTGCTCCAACGGATCGCTCAGTCTCTGTTTGCAACTGTAAGTCGCAAGATGCCGTCGGATTAGTTACCGCTTCTGAAAAAGACCAGCGGTGCGCTTCGGGAGGCAGCGAAGAGGAAGGATCTTTCGAACGCGGAGCAGCCGCTGCGGCGGCCTCGGGTGCGCGACCCGGGTTTGTGCGGCAGCGCGCCACGTCAGCATGCCTCGACCTCTCATCGTCTACTATCAGTGGTGGCAGCGGCGACGGCGGAGGCGAGGATTTTCGTGAGACGACGCGCGGCGGTCGCGCTGGGAGAGCGGGGAGCTCGCTGTTCGAGGAGTGGACGGATCTGGGCGGCAGGCCGCCGTGGGTGACAGGCGACAGCGCGAATACGCCGCCTGGCAAGGACGCATCGGCCAAGGCGACGGAGACTCGCCGTCCGATCTTCCACCAGAAGACACCGTCGGGCCGCATCCTGCAGGAGGTAAGGCGACTCAAAGGGAATCGCTCTCGTGTGCTCTAAACCCGCCCGTCCGCCCGTCCGTCCGTCCGTCCGTCCCTTAAACTCACAGTGTATATCCCCATCATCCTAAAGCCCTCTCACACCCACCCACTGCACCTCACATATTCTTCCCGTCGCAATCCCTCCCTCCCTCGCTCCCCCTGCCAGTTGTTCGATCTAGAGAACGGCCCCCTGGACCTCGAGTTCCTAGTCAGTCTGCGCACGCCCAGCCGCCGCCATTACGACTCGCCCGCTCACTCCTCGTCCGCGCGCTCCTCGCCTTACGCCCGCCGCACGCCGGCCACCACGCCCCCTCGCCCCCCCTCGTCCCTCACTCCCTCTTCTCCTGCTCCTGCTCCTACTGCTCCAACTGCCGCTGCTGCCTCAGACGGCTCGGCTCTGTCAGATTCTGCCTCCGCGTCCGCCGCACTCGGTTCAGAAGCTACTGAATCTGCTATTTCCAGCGCCGCTTCTTCAGAATCTCTTGCTGCTCAAGATCCGGCTCTTGATTCCACAAATCCAGTTGCTCCAGCTGCCGCTCTTGACGATTGCAGTGTTGACGAGGAGGACGAGGCAGCAGCAGCGGCGGCGTCAGCATGGGCGGCGATGGAGCTGGTGGATGGGTCGGTGTCGCCGGCTGCTTCTGTGTCGCGCGGCTGGATCGCCTCTGCTGCGCGCTCGCGCTTCATCTCTCGCATCGCTAGCAGCTTCAACTACTCCTCTCTGCATGGCCGCCGCGGCCTCTTTGGCTTGCGTGCCAAGAGCAGCAGCGGCAACAGCAGCAGCAGCAGCTTCACCACTGGCGGGAATGGGAACAGCATGACAACAATAGGTACGGTTGTGACGGCTTCTGCTGCTGCTGCTGCTGCCGCTGGTGCTGCTGCTGCTGGTTCTAGCAGTGCGGCTGGCAGTGGCAAGTCCGGCAGCAAGGTGGGAGGCGGCACTCGGTCGCTGATTCGCCGGGGAACCATGCCCGTGATAAGGCACGAACACATGGCAACAGCTCTGGATGGCAGCTTAGACCACTTCGCTGCTGCTGCTGCTGCTTCTGGTGAGGCGTCTGCTGCTGTTCATGCCAGTGCCTCAGATGGTGATGCCAGGCATGCTTTCCACCTGCCAGGCACTGCCCAACCACTCCCGCAGTCCGCTGCTGCTGCTGCTGCCGCTGCTCCTGGTGCTGTGGCTGGTGGGCAGAGTGGGGCCGGCAGTAGAGGCTGCTCTCGCAGCATGTCAGTAGGAGCAGCCAACAGCAGCAGCGCGGGAATGGTACACAGCAGCAGCACTGGTGGCGGAGGCGTGGCCCCGGCAACAAGCATGGTCGCACCTGGAGGCCCGGAGCCGAGCCTGCATGATGCTGCGTGGCGATTGCTGCTGCTGCAGCAGCAGAAGATTGCGATGATGGAAGAGGAGATTATGCAGCTCCGGCAGCGCTGCCGGGCCGCAGGACTAGGCTCGGATAAAAGCAGGAGCGGAGGAGTTGCGGTGACTGCTTCGGGCTCATCCAAGGGTGATGGTTTTCTGCTGGAGGGTCAGGGTGGGGAAGGGGCTTCAGGAGGAGCGGCGTATTGCAGGCTTGGCCAGTATTCGGTGATCAATGTGCGCAGGGGCCTGAGAGAGGGAGCGCAGGCAAAGGGGGAGAGCAACTCGTGTCTTAACCTTCCACTGCTGGAGACAGGCAGTGATGCCACGGACGGCTTGGGAGGGAATGAGAGTTTGAGTGTGCACATCCTGTCCCCCACCTCTTCTCATTCCACGTTGAGTTGGACAAGCCATGCCGGCCGCCCCGATTCATCCGGGGATAGTATATTTTCGCCTAGATTTTCCCCACGGCCTGCTGTTGCAGCCATGGGTGCTGCTGCGGCGGCTGCTGCTGCTGCTGCCGGGAAGGCTCTTGTGTCGAGTCCCTCGGCTGGCGGTATTCGCCATGGCTTCAGAGCTTTCTAGGGCCATTGGGGATGCCAGAGCTTTGAGGTCGGCGGTTGTGCTGTATTCTTGCGTTCCCTCCCTTTATTTGTGGTTAGGTTCTCCGATGTAGAGGCTAAATGCGCCTTGAAGATTGGGCATGTGCATTGCCAGCGGCATGAGCTGCCTGCTGCTTTAGGGGTTAGAGTTTTTTGTTTGATTTAGGTAGGTGACAGGCATGCCAGCTGGCACTTTTTTGGGCTTGTCCTGAGCCAAACTTTTTTTGCTGCTGTTTGACCAGCAACATATGATTATTTCAACAGCCACGTTCTCAAATGTGTAAAACAAGCACCCATGGTGTTACTTTGGGAAACTGAAAACGGGTGCTAGCGAGGATTCGAAATGATCAAGCCAGTTGTAACATCCCGTGCAAATTGTACAAATCGCCGCCGATAGTAACATCACCGATGCCAACACCCAGCCACTCCCACTTGCCCCACTGCTCACTCCCGGTACTCCCCGCGCCTCATCCTTACCCACAATGGCGCACGACGCCGTCCGACTCGCCGCAAAAGCCGCAGGTTCCGGATCCTGCTCGTCAAGCTCCCAAGCTGCCGATCTTCCAGCCTCCTCGATCATAGCGGTCCGCTCTTCTTCCCCGGAAGTGAAGTGGTAGATACCTCGAAATCACGCGGACTGTCCACAACCGTAGATACTATGTCCCGCAAGATTGACTCATCCGACGGTGGTGATTCTGAGCAGTCTTGTCCTGCCGCTGCGTCGATTCCCGACGAAGCCGGTCCGCTAGTCGCGTTATCGGAGCTGGACTCGTGCGACCTTATATCGGGTCCGCACTCGGCGCACCGCCAACCGCGCCAGGCGCGCAAACGCGGCGACGACGGCAAATTGCTCATGTCGTGGCGCGTTCCGGAATGGACGCTCCCGCCGCTGACGTCAGACCTGCGTCTCTCGTCACAGGAGCCGTTGGAGCAGCTGGAGTCGCGCACGCAGTGCCCCGGGTGTGGCAAGTCGCAACATTACTTCTGCTTCAACTGCCTCCGGGTACGACGGATGGTTGGGGAAGTGGGAATGATGGCTTTTGAGCCGACTAATAAGTCGCGCGCAGTGCCCCCTCTTTTCCCTTCCCGCCGCCACTCCCATTTTCTCCTCCCTCCACCCCCCTCCCCCTTCCCCCGCACCCCGGCTCCCTCCAAATTCCTCACCCCATCAACTTTCTTACCACTCCTCCCAAACTCTTAAATTCTCTGCCTTCTTCCCTTCAAACTCCAACCCCAACTTATGTTTCGCCTAGCCACTCCTCTCCCCTCCCACTCCTCCCCACCCCTCTCCTCCCCCGTCCCTGCCTGTGATACCCAGGCGTTCACCCCTCCGCACTCCACCCCGCGAGTGGCCCTCCCATTCCACGCGCACATGATCTTCCATCGCACGGAGCGAGCCAGCATGAGCACGGGCGTGCATGCTGCCGTGCTGGCGCCCGCGCACGTCACGCTGCACCGCTGGCCGGACGTGCATGCGCGCCGCCTCCCCCAGTTCCATGCGCGCGATACGGTGGTGCTGTTCCCGAGTGCGAAGGCCAGGGAGGTGGGCGAGATGAGCGCGGAGGAGCGGCGGAGAGTGAAGCGCGTGGTGCTGCTGGAAGGGAAGGTGGGCGAGGGGCGAGGGGGGAGGGAATGGTGGGGAGGGATTCGTGGGGAGGTGTAATGGATTAGGGAGAGACAAGAACACAAGAAGCTATGTGTAGGAGTGCTGCTGTAATGGACTGGGCATGACTTCTCTCTGTTTTTCTCACTCTTTCCTTGCCTTTCTGTTTCCCCTGTTTCTTTGTTTCTCGCTTCTCCATCCACGCCCCTCCCTCCCTCCGCACTCACTTCCCTACACTCCCCCCGTTTCCCCGCACACACCCACATAAAATCTCCATCCTTCTCATCCTCAACCCCTTCTCCCCCTCCTCTCCCCCGTCAACCGCAGTGGAAGGGCGCATCAGCGCTGCTCGCCCTCCCGCAGCTGGCGTCCCTGCCGCACGTGCGGCTGCCCAGCAGCATCCGCTCGGCCTTCTGGCGCTACCACACGCGCGGTGTGGCCCCAGACGCTGTCAGCACCGTCGAGGCTCTGCTCTGGCTCTGCCGCTGCTGGCACGCAGGGAGCTATGTGGGTAACTCGCAGGGTATTGGGTGTGAGGTGGAGGGGAGGATGGTATGTGGAGGGGATGAGCGGAGAGGGGATGGGAGGGAGAAGGGGAGTGGAGGAGTGTGGGAGAAGGGGGAGCAGATGGAGGAAGAGAGGGGGAGGGTGGAGATGGAGGGGGGGGTGGGAGTGAGGTGCGGACAGGAGGGAGGTGGGGAGAGGCAAGGGAGGGCGTTGGATGTCAAGGGGAGGGGAGAAGCAAATGATGAAGGAGATGAGGGCAGGCAGAGGGACACTGCAGAAGAGATTCCCGATAGAACCATGCCCGATAGAGATTCCCGGAATGGGGTTCATGGGGAAGCAGCCACTCTCCAGAGGGTGGCCAATGGCGGTGCAGAAGAGCCCATGGGTGGAGAAGAGCCGGCAGCAAGCTTGCAGGAGCAGGGTGAGTGTAGTGCGATGAGGGGGGCACACGCAAGTGACTGCCACTGCTTTGACGACTTGCTCTGGTTCTTTGCTCATTATCACCGCCGCATCATGCATGAAGGATCTGACCTCTTTACTTGAAGGTATTATTCTACATGTAACATGTTCCCAACATACATCATAAATTGAGAAATATTTTTCTTTTGTCATTATTGATTGGGCATTGTTGTCATAAGTGGCTGATTGTTGGGCTGAGAAAAGCCCTTAGGATCTTTGCAGGACTAAATTCTGGGTAGGACAATGTAATAGCGGAAGCGTTTAGTGACAAGTTTGTGAACCACCTTGCGCTGGTATGTGAGGGCGAAGTAGATTGATTAAAACAAAGAGATACAAGCTTTTATAAGAGTACAAGGGAATATGAAGGGTTAAAGCTAATAACTGTTTTGCTGTTGCTGTTGCGGTTCGATACAGTGACAACTCGGGCAACTGCTCAATAACGAGTCAGTTGTTTGTCCTTGCTGTCGCGCTGTACTTATCAGGTCAAAGGTCGCTGACCTTTGACTTTCGCGTAACCTCCAGCAGTTGTTCAACCTCCGAGGGTTGACTCGCCGATGCTTCGCTGTGTTTCGCTTCGTTTATGACTTAGTGCTTCGACACGACAGAGGCGCTTAAGTTACTTGTTTCCAACACTGTTGACTGTCGAAATGAGAGAAGTCGTATCGATCTGACGATCTTGATAATATCGACGACATTCCTTCCCAAGACGAGTCGATGCTCCATTTATATATAACTGTATATATACAATTGTATATGTATATAACTGTATATGTAACTACATGTAGTTTCGCATTCTCATCTTCTAGTTACTTGTTTCCAACACTCCCCTTCGCTTCTTGAGTGTCGCTGCTGGTGACGTGGCTCTGTTCAGTCAGCAGCATGCAGTACTCAAACTTCTGCTTTCCGAGTTTCTGGGTCAAGTAATCAGCTGCCATCTCGGACGTGGGGCTGTAAGACAGTTCGAGTCCCCCCTTCTCGATCTCGTCCTTCACGAAGAAATATCGCAGGGCGATGTGCTTCGTCCTGTTCGCGAATCCATTTTTGTTGGCTATGCAAATTGCCGACTGGTTGTCGCAGAACAAGGAGAAGCTGGGTAAATGAGCCAGCTTCGCTTCCTCCAGGAGTTCGCGAAGGTACAGTCCTTCCTTGGTGGCTGAGCAAAGTGCGATATATTCTGCTTTAGCTTAAGAGAGGGCGATTAACTCCTGCTTGCTCGACTGCCACGAGATAGGTCCGATAGGTTCGAAGCGATAGATGTAGCCGGTGCGCGAGCGTCTGTTGTCGGAGTAGCCAGCGTGATCGGCGTCGACGTAGCCGATTATCTTAGGTGTCGAGGTTCCGTTCTTGTGATAGGTCAGGCCGATCATCGGAGTGCTAACGAGGTAGTGGAGAGCGCGGTCGAGCTCCGCCATGTGTTCTGCCTCGGGCCTCTTGAGGTAGGTGGCGGGTTGACTCGCAGAGTACGATAGATCCGGACGGCAGGTGACGGCCGCGAAGAGGAGGCACCCCAGCTTTCTCTGGTAGTCGCGTATACCTGCGGGCTTAAGCAGAGCGGAGCTTTCTTTGTGATTTCCTGCGGTGTAGCGGTATGGCGTGGAGATGGTCATCGGGGTGAGTCCGAAGCGTTTGGCGATAGTGTCGGCATATTTCGCGGCGTTGAGATAGATCTCGCCTTCCTCTTCGTGAATGTTAAGGCCGAGGTATTGCGTGACAGTTGATGACACTGTGAGAGTGAGATCCTGCTGCAGTTCCCCTTCGAACCAAGTAGTGATGCCGTCAGTCGAGCCGATGTAAAGCAGGTTCCACGTAGACGATCAGTAAGATGTAGTCGTCGCCTTTCGTGAGCCGATACATGCCCTGGTCGTGTGGTAGCTGTCGGAATCCGATGCGGGTGAGTCGAGTATGTAGATACTGTTGCCACAGTCTTGGAGCCTTTTTTGATGCCGTACAGGGACTTCAGCAGTTGACAGACTTGGTTCGGCTGTCCGTTGGAGCCGTGAGGAAGTTCGACAAAGATTTCGGCGTCAACAGGTGCGTAGAGAAATGCATTGGCGACGTCGATTTCTTCTTCTTCTTCTTCTTCTTCTTCTTCTTCTTCTTCTTCTTCTTCTTCTTCTTCTTCTTCTTCTTCTTCTTCTTCTTCTTCTTCTTCTTCTTCTTCTTCTTCTTCTTCTTCTTCTTCTTCTTCTTCTTCTTCTTCTTCTTCTTCTTCTTCTTCTTCTTCATGGCTGCGATCGCGAGAAGAATTCGAAGCGAAGTGTGTCGACTGACCGGGGCGAATGTCTCGGTGAAATCACGTCCGTGCTCTTGGTCGAAACCGCGCACGACCCATCGCGCCTTGAGTTTATCAATAGTGTCGTTTGCCTTTGTCTTCACACGGAAGACCCATTTTCCGGTAAGTACCGATTTATTGCGTGCCACGCCGATGGGAACGACTTTCCAGGTGTTCCGTTCTTCCAGTGCTTTCAGCTCCTTGTCCATGGCTTCGCGCCATTTTTCCCTATGCTCCCCCCCACAGAGCCTAATGAACTGTGGCAGGCTCCTTAGGAATCTCCGTCCCGTGGACCGCGGTGACGAGGCCAAGTATCTGGAGGCCACTCTGTGTGTAGCGGGGGAGTGTTGTGTCCTCGGGATAAGCTGCTTCGTCACCTGCTTCTGGATCAGGTATGAAGTTGGGCCCTATGCGTTCTGCTTCGTTGGTGTTGACTCTTGCAGATGTAACGTAACCGTTGTCGGCGAAGTGGTAAAATACTTCGGCGTTGGCGCTTTCGCGTGTCAGAAATAGTAGCAGAAAGTTAGAAGCAGAAAGGAGAGCTTCACTAGTAAGCAGGGCAGTACATATAGCAAACCCTAATTTGGGTTGTACTCACTATAGAGTACCCCACTGCAGACTAGACAATGATAACATTCTGACACACCCCCATAGTCAAAGTGGGGTATAATCTGTCAAACTTATATGCTATAGTCTGTGTAGGCTGTAGTGGGGTAGACAATATGGGGTACAACACTTTTAGGTTTTCCTACTTGTACCCACCTGTTTCCTAGTGCATTTCATTCCTCATTCTTTCACATGGTATAGAGCAGGTTCCCTAGTGGGAACGTTTCCTAGGGCCCACCGAAAATCGAAATTTTTTTCCTGCCCGGAGCGCGCTTCGCCCCTGCCCGAGTCGCGCCCCGTGTGCCTGCCCTCCCGTCGCGTCCCCTGCCCTTAGCGGCCCGTCGCGCCCTCTTTCGGCCCCTCGCGGCCCCTTAGCCGCTCCCTCGCGGCCCCTCTCACGGTCCCTCGCGGCCCCTTAGCCGCTCCCTCGCGGCCCCTCTCACGGCCCCTCGCGGCCCCTTCGCGGCTCCCTCGCGGCCCCTCGCGGCCCCTCGCACGGCCCCTCGCGGCCCCTCTCACGGCCCCTCGCGGCCCCTCCGCGGCCCTACGCGGCCCCTCGCGGCCCCTCGCGGCCCCTCGCGGCCCCTCTCACGGCCCCTCGAGGCCCCTCTCACGGCCCCTCGCGGCCCCGTCGCGGCTCCCTCGCGGCCCCTCGCGGCCCCTTCGGCCCCTTGCGGCCCCTTCGTGGCCCGTTGCGGCCCCTTCTCAACCGCTGCCGCCCCTGCCCCGGCTGCAGCAGCCGCCACCACCGACAACAGCCGCCGCCGCTGCCGACAGCAGCAGCCGCCACCGCCGCCGACAGCAGCAGCCGCCACCGCCGCCGACAGCAGCCGCCGCCGCCGCCGCCGACAGCAGCAGCCACCGCCGTCGACAGCAGCAGCCGCCGCCGCCGCCGACGACAGCAGCAGCCGCCGCCACTGCCGTGTCCGCCGCCGCCGCCCCTGCCCCGGCCGCAGCAGGCGCCGCCGCCGACAGCAGCAGCCGCCGCCGCCGACAGCAGCAGCCACCGCCGCCGCCGCCGACACCAGCAGCCGCCGCCGCCACTGCCGTGTCCGCCGCCGCCGCCCCTGCCCCGGCCGCAGCAGCCGCCGCCGCCGACAGCAGCAGCCGCCGCCGCCGCCACTGCCATGTCCGCCGCCGCCGCCCCTGCCCCGGCCGCAGCAGCCGCCGCCGCCGACAGCAGCAGCCGCCGCCGCCGCCGACACCAGCAGCCGCCGCCGCCGCCGCCGCTGCCGTGTCAGTCGCCGCCGCCCCTGCCCGCCGCGGCACCCTGGCCCCTGGAGCAGCCGCCGCTGCTGCAGCTGCCCCTGGCCTCTCGAGCAGCAGTCCCTGCAGCAGCCACGGAGCCCTCGCCCTGCGGTGGTAGCGGCCTCACCTTTGCCGCTGTCGGACTCCTGCCCTTCTTGCCACCGGTGAGCACTGCTGTTACTGCTGCTCTTGCTACTACTGCTCTTTCTCCTGCTACTGCTGCTCCTGGCGTGGCCAGATGCAGCTCCAGCGACGTCCGCGTGAGTCCCTCACGCCCCAGCAGCTTCGTCAGTGGTACGCTACTTGGGGTTGTCGGGGTGACCGTAGTGAGAGTCGTTCTGGCGAGAGTAGTTCGGGAGCTGCTTGTAGTAGCCAGGTGCAGCTGCAACGTAGTCCACGCGCGGTCCTTTCGCCCCAGCAGCTTCGTGAGTGGTACGCTCAGCGTGGAGGGTCACGGAGTACTGCTCGCTGTCCGTACATCATTCGCACTGGTGCTCGGACTGGTCACCCTTGCGGGACGTTTGGTCACGCAGAGTCCCGCTGCTTCGCCCGTCTGAGCGACGCCTGGCGTACGGAGTTTGGCGACGCTGCTGAGCTCCCCGACTGGGTGGAGCTGCTTAGGCAGAGGGTAGATATCTATGCTCTTGACTATGATGCTATCCTCACTGCGATGTATGCATTGCCTACTAGTGATGAGGGTGACTGTTACCTGTGTGTTCTGCCTGACCCGAGCATTGAGGTTGCTGCTCTAGGTGCTGGTGAGGCTGCTGCTCTAGGTGCTAGTGCGTCTACTCCTCCAGGTGCTGGTGAGTCTGCTGCCCCAGGTGCTGGTGAGTCTGCTCTCTCAGGTACCACGTCGTCTCAGATTTTACACACCTTCACCCTTGACTCGGGTGCTTCCCGCTCCTTCTTTCGAGACTCCACCACACTCACGCCGCTTAGTCGGCCGGTTGCAGTC